CTTTATCATGTCATACTTAAATACAGTATATTATATTTATGTATATATTGTATTATATTTATGCAGTATATTGTATTATATTTATGCAGTAAATTATATTATATGTATCATATAAATATATCGATCTGTATCAAAAGATAAAAATCTTATAATACTTCTTCAGTCAATTAATCAATCTTACGATTAAATTGGACTGTGTATTTAAATATGTTCATAACTGTGTATATGACTTCCTAGAAAAATGAATTTGTATCACTAAGATAATTATATTTGTAATAATTAATAATGTAAATCTTTAAATATATTTTATATATATATATATATATATATATATATTATTACAAATATCATAGCGATACAAATTTATTTCTCCAGAAAGTTATATGTATAAATACACTGTCCAATATTAATGTAATTTTATAAATAATTAAAAATAAAGTATTACCAGATTTTATATGTACATAAGAGATATATATATCATTTTTGCGTCATTTTCCTATCGCCAAAAAATCAATGTGATAATATTTTTCGGCGCGGTATCATATGACGCGTCTCTCCTCGCTCGCCTCTAATGCGCCGCGACATATACCGCACCGAAAAATATTTGTCATTTGCAACTTGCCTACAGATTAATTTAAACTTTACCATGTTGTTTATCATTAACACTGCTTAATTTATTATGAAATCTATCACAATCCGGCGTGTACATAAAAGAGAGAGAGAGAAAGAGAGATGGAATGAGAGAGGGGGGGGAAGAGAAAGCGAAATGGAGAAACAGAGATATATATGTATATGTATATAACTTAATCATGATAATTTCTGATTTTTATAAATATAAACTAATAATTAATTTATAATCATTTATATAGTTTTTCCATAATTTTACATTCTAATTTTGTTAAGTATTTTTTAAACGTTATTTCAATTTCTATGTTTATAATACGAGTGCAATAATCAAATTTTATGATAAATATATATATATATATATATACGTATGTAATTTTAGCTATATTTTTATTTATAATTTTATATATATATTGTTAGTTTATGTAATTGTTAATATCTATAAACTAATTATGAGTTTATATATGTAAATGGTTTCATATATAAACTAATAATTCGTTTATATATAATTTTATATATAGTAATATAATAAAAGCTACATACATAGTACTCATTAGAATAAAATTTGATTATTGTGTACATATTATGTATAATAAAGTTAAAATAACGCTTTATAAAAAAATTTAAAACACTTAACAAAGTTACTATTAAATTATAGAAAATTTATGAAATTATAATGCAAACACACGAAAAACTAAAAAATACCTATTTTAATTAGAGTAAACAAGAACAGTAAAGCATTGTCATAGTCACACATAAAAACTGATATTTAAAATATTTAAAATATATTCTTTGAAACAAGATCGACAGAGAAAAACAACACAGAAAGTATTGTAGTATAGTAATTCTAATATTATACATTTGTGTACATAATGTACACAAAATGTACAATATTAGAATTACTGTTCTAATATGTACATAATGTACATTTGTGTGATGTTAATGAGTTTTATTAGACCAACAATAAAACAACATTGTGATAATTTTTTAGAATATAGGTTTTTTATTAGTTACATCTCAAAAATGGTTAGTTGTTGTTATGCAATCAAAGAATGTTGAAATGCATTAAAGAACATTCTAAACACTTAATGTAAATATTAACTGTTATTCACAATACATAATTCGAAAAAATACGTATGTTGATACAAATGCAAATATTGATTATAAGAAATACAAATACAATTTATGAAAAAAAAATTATGGAACAAAAATACAGTAGATGTTAAGACTGCGACTATACTGGTCGCTATTCTCGAAATACAATTCGCAGAAAAAACTGATGTAAAAAATTGCAGTAAAACTTAGCATACATCTGTGTCGTCTACATATAATCTTTGCGTACATTTTTTGTAAAACTATCTACTTAAATACCTATTTAATTTGAATAATTATAATTACTTTAAAAATTAAAATTATTAAAATTATTATAATTACTTAAAATTACACATATATTAATATATTATATTATATAAATTTGAAAGTTGAGACTCCTGGATACTCGCCGATTATGTCGGAATCGTGACATCATGCAGAGGCGAAAAAACACGATGAAAATTCTTGCGAAACATTTTTAAATAAAAAGATATTTCAATAAAATAACACTACAAACGTCTTTGGCACACTTGTAAAATATATCGAAAACTAGCTTTTTCCCATTATAATCAATCAACAGCTGTAAAATGACTGTAATATCAGATCCAGTCCATCTGGTCTTTGCACATGTGCAATCATTCTGCATGACAAAGTCTGATGTTTCAATTATTTTACAGCTGCTGATTGACTATCAAGAGAGAAGGTTAGTCTTCGGTATATTTTACAAGTGTACAAAGAGATTTGTAGTGTTGTTTTATCGAAATCTTTTTATTTAAAAATATTCCGCAAGAAATTTCTCGCCTCTGACGTGGCTGCGACGAGTATACAGGAGCCTTAAAACCAAGATGTTAAATCAAAGCGCTTAGTGTAGTCTTAAAAAACATACACTTTAAGCAAACAAAATTAAACATAAGCTAATTGCACATATATGTATTATTAGCATGAATTTGTTTTTTGTAAAATCCATTGCATAACTAATTCTCTATAAAAAATAATTATATACAACTAGTCAATTTTGTACAATCTCTGGATTTCAATCACGAAAATTTCGTAAAAAGAAAAATGCATTTGTAAAAGAATAAAAGAAAATGTTAGTAGCGATTTAATGAACATAAACACTTTAAGTATTGACAAGTGATTTGAATTTCAGAGTTGTATGACAATATTAATATTTAAGTAATTAAACTATCTTTTACTTTATTATAACGCGTTTATCTTCCAGACTTATAGTTTAATCATCTCTTTATTTTACAAGCATGCTCATCTGGAGACACCAAAAGATATTCTCTGGAAGATTTAAGCTAGTAACTCCATTCTTAAAAGGAGATAGCACCTACTGATCTAAGTTTGATCAAGGACCTCGACCAATGCGGACTCTGTTCTCGACCAAGGACAGTCCCAGCACCCACTGGTCTAAGTTCGATCAAGGATGCCAACCAATGCGGACTCTGTCCTCGACCAAGGACAGTCCCAGCACCCACTGGTCTAAGTTCGATCAAGGACGTCGACCAATGCGGACTCTGTCCTCGATAAGGACAGTCCCAGCACCCACTGGTCTAAGTTCGATCAAGAACGTCGACTAATGCGGACTCTGTCCTCGATAAGGACAGTTCCAGCACCCACTGGTCTAAGTTCGATCAAGAACGTTGACTAATGCGGACTCTGTCCTCGACCAAGGACAGTCTCAGCACCCACTGGTCTAAGTTCGATCAAGGATGTCAACCAATGCGGACTCTGTCCTTGACCAAGGACAGTCTCAGCACCCACTGGTCTAAGTTCGATCAAGGACGTCGACCAATGCGGACTCTGTCCTCGATAAGGACAGTCCCAACACCCACTGGTCTAAGTTCGATCAAGAACGTCGACTAATGCGGACTCTGTCTTCGATCAAGGACAGTCCCAGCATCCATTGGTCTAAGTTCAATCAAGGACGTTGACCAATGCAGACTCTGTCCTTGACTAAGGACAGTCCCAGCACCCATTGGTCTAAGTTCGATCAAGGACGTCGACCAATGCGGACTCTGTCCTCGATAAGGACAGTCCCAGCACCCACTGGTCTAAGTTCGATCAAGGACGTCGACCAATGCGGACTCTGTCCTCGATAAGGACAGTCCCAGCACCCACTGGTCTAAGTTCGATCAAGAACGTCGACCAATGCGGACTCTGTCCTCGATAAGGACAGTCCCAACACCCACTGGTCTAAGTTCGATCAAGAACGTCGACCAATGCGGACTCTGTCCTCGATCAAGGACAGTCCCAGCACCCATTGGTCTAAGTTCGATCAAGGACGTCGACCAATGCGGACTCTGTCCTTGACTAAGGACAGTCCCAGCACCCATTGGTCTAAGTTTGATCAAGGACGTCGACCAATGCGGACTCTGTCCTCGACTAAGGACAGTCCCAGCACCCATTGGTCTAAAACTAAGAGTACTGAGGCTATCTTCTTTTAGAAATAGTCCGCACTAACCTAAGTCCTCCAAAGAACATAAATATCTTCATCTGTTCGCTAAATGAGCATGTTGTAATAATAAAAAGCTATAAGTAAGATAAATATGTAACCTACTTATATGTAACATATTATCTATATATATGTATATATATCATTTGTGATATAATAATTATTATATATAATATACATATTGTAATACAATAAATAATATTGTATATATAATAGAAAAGTACAGTTAGTCAACAAAATGTCCACAATACCGTCTTGTGTGTGTATCACGAAAAATAAATAAATTACAATAGAATAGCAGTCTTATGATACACAAGAGGTCATATGTATACATATATATTTGCAAATTAAATTCTTTTTCAAACTATTGTATTATATTATACTTATATTTTATCGTTTTATATGTAGCATGCTATTATGCTTCTAAAACAAAAATAATATTTCAAAATAAACAAAACAAAAATTCATAAAAAATTAAAAGCTACAATTATATTGTTTGCAACTTTCAATAACTTTCATTATCGGTGTAAATTTTGTCGAAAACTGACATCTTGAAAGAATATAAAATAAATTTGAAGTATTATGTTTGAAGTATTAATTAAATGATAAGAAAACATTTTTTTAAATATTATCTAATGAAATAAACAAGAATTCAAAGCAGTTGCAATTATCAGAATGACATTATTCATATTGTCGTAGAGCTTTTTGTTTATTATGGATCCATGTTTTTATTTGCAGCGATGTCCGATTAAATAAACAACTATACTTTTTGTTAGTTTTTTGAATTTCTCGTAAAGACGGTAGCGTTAAGTTTTTAGCGTTAAGTATATGTGTGGAAAATGCTTGAAGTACTGTTTCTTTTTCTTTTTCTGTCCAACGCTGCCTTTTGGTTTTGCCATAAGGAGATGCTAGAAAAATATATATTATTACCATATATTATTAAAATAGTGCATACATATTGAAATTGATAAATGCCAAATTACTAGATGTGAATTAACCGAAATATTAGAAAATAAAATTAAAATTTTATATATTTTATATATTTTAGCTTTACATTTTATTAAAAATATAGTCATAAAAGAAAATATAAACAATATTTTTTAGCTTTACATTTTTTATTAAAAATTACTAAAATCATAAAAGAATAGCAAGAGAAAACGTATTTATATATACACTAAAAATGACAATATTTATTTTCAACTAAATGATTTTTTTTCTTTAGTAGCGATTATTTTTACATAAAATAATTCTGAATTTTAACTATTGCTTATCAAAGAAATTAAGAAAAATGATATTGATAAAACATTGCAATTATTTAGTAATATGTACTTTGTAATATGTAGCAATTAATATATGTAACAAACACCATTATGAATAACTTTATTAAATATTCCATAACATTCAAGAGAGAGAATCTTTGAAACATTTTTAAAAATATTAAACTAAAGAGACAGTGTTTTCAAGAAATACTTATAAAATCATCAAATATTGATCTAATATTCTTGTTGTATAACTTACACAATGAAAATATGAATTTTAATAAATTAATGCGAAATACTTACTGGATCTTTTCCGTTTATTTTTTGGTTTCTCATTTATTATATCATCATTTATTATATTATTGGATGTATTATGTGAAGATATATCTGAAATAAACAAATTGTCAGCATTAAAAATAAATACGTTTCAAATAAACATACGCAAGGTGAAAAATTGAACTTGTTACAATCGAATTTCAACTATATATATGCACTAATTCAATAAAAATTTCTGTACTAATTCAATAAAAAAGAAAGAGCTAATTTAAGATAATGTATATTAATGATGTATTAAAAATGTATTATTGCAAGCAATAAAAAATTCAAAATATATCATAAACACTGCTAAAAGATGTTTACATTCATAGATTACTAGAACGTCTTTTGAATGTTTTTGTTTTTCGGACTTTTTTGCTGCCGAAGAAGACGTTATTAAATCATGTTTGTGTGCTAGTCTATCAAATAAATATTTTTATATTTCAATGTCAAAAAAAATGTAATATCTTTAATTTTTCACCTAGTATTTCTTATTAAGTAAAAATAGAAAATTAGTTTAAATATCTATATATTTACTTAAAGATAAATTTTCTTCATTCATGTGCGTCATCATCATTGCGTCGTTATTATTTTCATCATCTAGATTATTATTTTCATCTTCGAGTTCGCTGTCTGATGAAGATTCTTTCAAATCTTGTATATTACCTTGGACCGCCTCTAAATATTGTGATATTTTAAGAATATCCCTGCTTGCAAGCGGTTGTCTATAGTGTTCTCGATGTATTTTTTCTGCATGTCCCATGAATGTAGCCAAATCGGAAACATCGATATCATTAAGATTCAATTGTATGCAATGAGTTGCCACGTGTTTCCTTAAAATCGTACCGCGTAAACTTGATGATTCAATTGCATTGCATTCTTGCGCAAATTTGCGCATTAATATGCAGGCTCTAAGATATCTATATCTATTTTTGTTATAACCAGGTAATCCAAAGACGTATGGATTTTTCTGCGGTACTGCAGCTTCTTTACGAAATTGTAAAATCAAATTAACACATTTAAGTAGCTCATTCGTTAATAACACAGGTACGGTACGCCCTAATTTCCCTCTAATGCAAAATCGATTATAATTTTCTGCTATTCTTCGGTTCTTCTCTGATAATGATGCATATATATCGCAATACATGTTTTTATTTATACTTTCGTGATTTTTAAAATCTTCGATAAGTATTCGCTCTATTCCTCCCGCTCGTCGTCTATTGAATACGTGAATTGATGTTAACGTTACCTCTGTTAAAGAGATCCAATTTTTGTAAGAAAAAGATTTTTCTAATGCCTCATAGGCCTCTTTTTTTACTTTTTCCAAATGTTGATACAATGTTTGAATATTTTGCATTGACGGTAGGTTCACTTTTTTGCGTCTTTTGTAAGCTGATTGTGTTTCAATGACAGTTTTGTTGACTGTTGTTCCAATGTCTACAACTAATAATTTTAGAAAATCTTTTACTAATTTCTTTTTCTCTGAATCATTTGCCTTTATGTATTCTGTAATAAGTAGATTTCCCACATGTTTAAGCAATGTTGATAAATTAGCCGCTACCGCTGGAGTTTTGTAAATATTTTCTTCATTATTGTAACCTGCTACAATATTAATTGCAGAAATGCAATCATCGTATACTTTTGGATGATAGAGTGACTTGAAATCTTTAATAGTTGTATTTATTTTCTTCAATGCTAATAGGAATCGACCAAGAACGCGCAACCTTGCACGTATCACATCGTGCTGGTGTTGTGTTTTATATTTAATACATAACTTATTTGCATATAATATTAACAATTCATCATATCGTATAATTCTTGTTACTTCATCGTCTCTCATTACTGGAAATACAATTTTCTTTAACGTTTCACTTGCCAAATGATGAATTCTGCAAGCCACTTTTCTGCCCATAATCATGATGCATTTATTTTTACTAAAATCTTTTTTAAAGCAATTTCGAGAATGATGCCGTATGGTTTGTTTTGCAAAAAAACCTTGGCATTTTCCACATGCTATAAAGTCTGTAGCAACCTTATTGTGTTTTTCATTGGGACGTCTGCATACAATAAGTTTTCCATTATTAGCTTCTGAGTTTATGTTAAACTGAAAATTTCCTTTTTTTCTAATAATATCTATTATTTTTTTTCGTTCCGGATTGCCTTTAGCTAATAGGGCGAATTTTTTAACTTCAGGTTCATCACGATGTACAGTTTCCAAATTACGCGGAAGTTGCGTTTGCAATTTCAAGCAATAGAAACAGTAGTTTTTTTTATAGTTTTAGCATTAGACATTTCTACATACATATCTTCGTCGTTGCACGCAGTACTATTTTCTATCGAGACATCTGTATTCGATACTGAAGACGCAGTTGTATTTAATTTCTCCTCTAAAACTAATTTCTTTTTCTGTTGTGATTCGTTATGTTCCAATAAATGTAGTTCATCTTCAGATGGCAAATACTCCGAATCACTGCTATTTTCTTTATCATTATTAATATCTAAAGTATAAAAGAAAATATAAAAGAACATTAAGTGAAAACATGCATTAACATATAACTGTAATGTCTTTGATTTTGATGCATTTTATAATATTTGCTTATATTTTTATCTTCTATTTCTCAAGATATGTTAAATGAACATAGTAAATCTTAATTCAAGAAATGTGTGGATCTTTTAAAATGCGATATCCTATATTATTTAATATAAATATGTGTAAATATACAATGTCCCAAAAGTTCTGCCATAGTCAAATATCTTGAAAACAAATACTTCAAAAAAATATTTAATAAAAGTTATAGGGCTTTATGTAATGCATTAAATATAAAATCTCTTGTAAAATATTTAGTTTTCGATAATCTTTAATACTTTATTACTTTTATGCATAAAATAATTAGACATATCAATTGATGTAAAGAAAACAGTTTTGAGGTTATTTTGAAGAAAATATATTATAATTTGCAACTTTCATGCATCACTTAAAGCCTTATATAGAAACACGTATTAAGGAACATAAAAATAACATCAAAAAAGACACGACATCACACTCAGTTGTTAGTTTGCATCGGACTTGCAATGATCATGAGTTCCGTTGGGATTCTCTTGTGATTCTGCATCAAGAAAAACAAACAAGAAAAAGAGAAATAGCAGAAATGTTCTATATAAAAAACCAAAGAAAAAGCATTAATTTACAAAAAGATACGGAGAATTTCAGTGGGATTTATGATCGCGTTCTTGAAGCTATTTAATATATTATATTGTCATATGTTACATATTTATTTATTTATTTATTTATTTATTTATTTATTTGACTTTGTATTGACGGTTTAAAAATTGCGAAAGACACAGTACTTTGGTTTTCTATTTCCTCAACGCGTAGTGACTAAGTTTCCTGCTAACAGTCAACATCTATTTATTTCGGGCTTACTTCTGTCAGTTATACATTGTTCATCAAAACAATGGTTAATTTTGTCGGGGGTTTGCTGTAAATATGATTTATTGTATTAATCTGGTATGTAAACATATATATTTTTGTAAATTTATAATTATTTGTATGATTAAGCGCATTAAGAGTATATTTATATGTATATAATTGTTTATAGATTACTTGAAAAGGGCTGCAATGACAGCCGAAACGTTGTAAATTAAACTAATTATTTAAAATAAATTATTGCCAGTCTGGTCGACTTTAAAATTGGAGGAGAGATTTTCATTTATTTTTATATTATGCATCAAGACCAGTCATGACAGTTGTAATCCAAATAACTTGTCATTATTTCGTGAGAAAGTTGGTTGTCACTATGCTACTGTACATAGAAATTGATTGTATATGCGTATATATGACAAAATCTTTGGTTTTTAAAAATATTTAAAAAATATTAAATGATTCTTGTATCAATTATTTGTAATTCTATTAGCTTAAAAATGACCATTATGATGAATAATTTCGCGAGCGGTATATTATAATAATTACTCATTGAAAAAGAATTAAAGCATAAACATATCTAACTTATCTAAAAAAAATACATATGACTAATTTTTAAAAAGCACATGTATAAATCTACATACCATCCAATGCAGGTAATACTGGGGCTGGTACTGAAGATAATACTGGATTTATGTTCTCTTTATTGGATATTGCATTCTCTTTATCTGTCGTTGCAGTTTGAATAGGAGATACGCATATATCTGATGTATCTATTAAATTTTGTAAAAAAAAATTATCAAATTGAAAAACTATTAAAATTAATAATAGCATATGAGAAATATTTTAAAAGTACATAATAATACGCCGCACAGTTGTAAACAAAAATTTAATATGTTAGTAATTATATTTT